CTTGGTCAACTAACCAACTTGAATTCTACTCTATATCACCATCACTTTGAACAAGACCCAATGCACCCCTCTACTTCAACCAACATGAATTCAACTGAGAACATCCCTATCTATATCACCTTCATTTCGAACATTTGACCGATCGATTCATTCCTCCAATTCAACCAACCAACTTCAATTCTACCAATAACATCCCCAACTATATCACCATCATTTTGAGCAATAGACCAGATCGTGGCATTCCTCTATTTCAACCAATCAACTTGAATTTTAGCAATAACATCCCCTTCTATATCACCCGATTCATATATTGCTTCACTTCAACCAACCAACTAACTTGAATTCTACTAATAGATAAATACATACCACTCAATACTTATGTATTTATATAGCTAACTCATATGCTTCAACTTATATGAAGATTTCATACATACCACTCACTACTTATGCATATACATAGCTAACACCCAAGCATCATTTTTTATAAAGTTATTCATACATACCACTCAATTCTTATGTACATACACCTAACACCTAAATTTCAACTATACATACACACCACAATACCTATCTATGAATATTTTCACACATACCACTCAATTCTTATACATATACATATCTAAAACCTAAACTTAAATTTGTACATGCACAACATATTACCTATGTACTATGATAAGACATACATCACACAGAGATTTTAAAACATACTTAACACCTAAACATACCCATGAAAGGTCATTTTCACTAAACAAAAATTTGAATGACAAAGACAGGCACAAATGGAATTACCTTTCTCAATGTTTTCTCCCTGGAGCAGAGCAGAAGGATGAGAACTATGGGAGTTTCGGTGGTCTTTGTACACATGCTTTGTTAGCTTCCCAGCTAGCTCTAATGACGATTATATTGCAAAGGTTCGTTTTGGGAAGGTGATGAGTTTGAGTGAACCCGTGAGAGAGAGGGAAAGGGGAGAGGGGAAGGCGTGAGGCTTTCGTGCAGAGTGGGGAGCGCGGAGAGAAAATGAAATTTAGCCAGGGGACGAATAATTTAGGTCATTTGCGTCGAATTTGAGTAGAAGTTGCGTCGGATTTTGTCGACACAAACAAGCAAAGTATTTGCATCAATTTTTTAGACGCAAAGTTTGCACATAATTCATCGTAAGTCTAAAATAAGTTTCGTCTTTTTTAGAAGACTTTTACTGACGAATAATCTGACGCAAATATCATCCGCTAATCTGACACTAATATTTGCATCGAAAATTTCCGATGCAAATATTGGACGCTAATTCCAGCTTCTTCTGTAGTGATAGAAGATGAGCAAATGTGTATAGAAAATGATAATAAGAAAGGTACAAATTTCTTATTTTAATTTTGATTATTTTTTTAGTTATTCTTTCATGAATATTTGAACATTAAACTGTCAATGATAGAAATAAAATAACAGAAATTTGATTTGCACCGTCTGACTGTCCGTTCACGTCTTGTTTAATTTTGAACCCCGGCTCGGGCCATAATAAGTAGAAGGAAGAAGAGAATGAAGCAAAAGAGAATTTGTAGAGGAGTTTCGTGTGGAACATCACAGTCGAGCTGAGGAAGGCGTGTCGTGCTGACCTTAGTTGAAGGAAGGAGGGAGGATATTGACTCGTGTTATGTTGAAGTCGGGCCATGCTCGAAGGAAGAAGTACGGGGACGACTCGTACTCGTACAGACAAGGGTAGTGAACTAAAGCTCTTTTAAGTTTAGGGTAAATACGAATTTTAGATTTAATTAATTATTTGATTTAAATAAATTTTTTAAGTATTAATGTCTGTTTCTATTAAGTTATAATAGGACCCTTCAATTTAAGAACTTTTATTTTATAAGATTGAGAGGCAGAAATTATTGATTTCATAAAATAAAAAGGTAATTGTTAGGTTTTTTTGTTAAGGAAATAATCGATAATGTAAATATTTATGTGTGGTTTACATTAATTAGGAATTGAAGGCTGATAAATCCTTATGATTCGAGGAAGGGGCGAAAGAGAACATTCAAAGAAGGATAAGATAAATATTTATAAGTTTTATGCTTTAATTATATAAATTAGTTTAATTAAAGGGGGTGTTAATCTCATATAAAAAATTTTATGAATTAATTTTAGTGATTTTAATTTGTCAAATAGTTAATGAAAGTAGTTGAATTAAAGTATGAGAGAGATTAAAATTTGTTTGTTCTAGAGAAAATAAGGTGAAGGGGTAAGTTTTTCAAAAGTCTCTAAAAAGTTAAAGTGAATAATTGATTTCTTCTATTAAATTAAAGTTTTATTTAAAAAGTTCTTGCATTATTGACTTATAAACACCTATTTTTTTGATTATATGAATTTTGAAAGTTAAAGAATCTTTATAGTGCAATTAAATGAAGCAAGAAAGATAAATGATTGTTTAATAGCTATGAATTGATACATTATAAAGGAAATGAAATATGCAGTATTAAGTTAGTCAAGATTTACAAATAGAATGTGCTGGCAGAGGATGCGATGTACGAGTACAATAAAAAAAGTAAAATTTTGATGATCCATATAGGTACAACTTTTGAGATATCTTCAGGTAAGATGATAATTCTGATATGACTTACTAAAAAAGGACAATGATTAAAATGATAAATATGTAAATTGAAACATCAAAGTTTAATTTAAAATGAAAGCTTACACTTTAAATAAGTAATGAATTACATTTTTTAGCCATTTAAGTATAACATTTGCATATTAATTTAATGCATAATAAGATTATAATTGCTCATTAAGTCGTGTAAATTATTGTTGAATTTAATTGTTTATTTCAAATAAAATACTAGGTTGAAATGACTGACGGCTGGAAATCGGCTTATTGGACTACTAATACTAGATATTAAGTGGTTTATTATGCTTCTAGTTTATTTTACTGTTTAATTCTGAGAAATGTTGAACTATTGTTTATTAGATTGTGAGTGTTACTTTCAGGTTATGTTTCTTTGGTTAACTTAAATTTTTATTTAGTGTACTTTGTGATTCTTAGTGACTCCTTTTTATAAATTGGAAGTTATGATAATCCGTGAAAACTAAATAAAATATTAATTATAATGTTTGATTGTCTGTTCTTGTTTTGGTTTATTTTAAGCCCCATATTTGGTTGTGACAGATGAGCATGTTTGTGAACTTTGATAAAGAATTGAACTATGTTCAAATTTGGTTCATTTAACGTTTGAGTTAAAAAAATTTTCAAATTTGTTTATTTACTAATGTGAACAAACATGATCAATTATTAATTGAGTTGAGTTTGAGTTGCTCATCAAGTGCATTGGTTCATTTACAACCCTAGGCTTGGACGAGGACAAGGATTGGTCTTCTTTGCATAATTGGTCGTTTCTCAGTAATCCTAGGAGGATCAGAAGTATCAGGTGCTGCTAATTTTTCTGAACTAACTTGGCCTGAAGGGAGTTGGAGCCTATCCACATTCCCATCTTAGCGAAATACTGTTTGAAGATAACCATTGAAAATTCTGGGTTGCATCACTTTCAATCTTATAGGCAAGGTTGATGACTTCCCATATTGATTGGAGTGCTAGCTAGTCATGCAGTGAATCCTTCAACTTGTCAAGTTTGCAGGAGACTCTGCGCCACTCCAATTTGTTATCATTTATTCCGGCATAGGCAATAGAATTCCTCTGTATTCATTGATCAGATGCCCTCGTTGTTGCCTTATCCTTGAGTTTATATGAAACCAGGTTCATTTGGTTGTTTTTTATAATATTCACGTCTTTGAAAAAGGACAAAACATATTTAATCCAATCCAAAAGCTCTTTTAGGTGCATATGACCATTGAAGAAGGGAATGACAAATTCATGTTTATATTCTTGGTGTTGAAAGTGTAGAGAGGGCTAAGTGTACTGAGGGATGTCCAGAGTTCAAATTTTTGCTGTTTTTGTCCGAATCAATACCGGTGAGACCTCAATGCACATTAGCTTGACGTTGGGAAATTTCAGATTGGGGACCAATGGTTTGATCCAAACTTTCGTCTGAAGTTTTGCTACATAGCACACCTCCCCTCACACTGATACTTGTGTCACCAAGGAAGTTTTTCAAGAGAAGTTGTGGTTGTTAGATTGGAATCAACACTCCAATGTCGCGGAGTATCCATGAATGTTAGTTGAAGGAAGTCAAATCATTTCTCTAGTGCTGTGATTGATGTCTGCAGGCCTGCATGCCAAGCTTTTTATTTCCGGAGTGTTGACTGTCTTCCCATTTTCCGGCCATGGCTCGGGTTCTCCGAGACTCTGATACCAGTTTTGATGTAGACTTAACCAAAACAAAAGTGAAGGAACCCACATATACTTGGTATATTCAATATTGTATATTCCATCTCTTTTGTCCTTGCATCCCATTTTAAGTATAGAAAATGGAAGTTAAATGCAGAGGTGGTGCCTAAAGCTATGAGTGCTGTTACTATAAGCTGCAATAAAATAAAATAAAACGGGACATTTACATATATACCGCCCATTTCTTGTGGATTTACATATCTAACTCTTAAACTTAATTTTTACCTTAATATCACCCAAATATTTCATATCACATGAAAAATACCATCATTTTAACGTTTAAAAAGTAAAAATTTACCTTTTCATGCATATAGGTAGGGTTGTGTGTGTAAAAATTGAAGTTTTGCTGTTAAATATGTAAATAGGAAACAAAGAAAAAAATAATTGCGTGTTGCTCCTACATTTGTAAGAATAAGGTTTGGATTCCTAATCTAAAACTAGTAAATTTGTTCCATTGAAAAACTGTGCTATGCTGGAAACTTCATTTGAAAATGAGCATAAATTAGTATCAAAATCTTCGTTTTATGCCAAGTTACTATTCTGGTGATAGTTTAGTCTTTTATGTTTGATGATTTGCTATGCATCAGATTTTCTTATTTATACTTTTGTCAATACTCCAAACTGTATCCTTGGAATATGAAATTTTGCACTTATTTTTGCCATCTTTTTTCTGCAGAGTATAGGACAGTGTCTGGCGTTGCAGGACCTCTGGTTATCCTGGACAAAGTTAAGGTAATGTCTCATTTTATTTTATAGTATTAAGCTTCATTCTGCTTTTGGTTTTACGTGGAGTTTCTTTCTTCTAATAAAGCTTGATTTTATTTTTTTCTTAGTTTTTCACTTCCAATAACTGAATTTTAGGGTCCAAAGTATCAAGAGATTGTTAATATTAGATTGGGAGATGGAACAACTCGGCGTGGCCAGGTCTTGGAAGTTGATGGGGAGAAAGCTGTTGTACAGGTTAATGATCTTTCTTTGTTTTGGTATTGTTTGCTGCAAAATGCTTGCATTTCGTAAGTTGAAAAAGATTATGCCATTTTTGCATTTCTATCGATTTTTTATTCCTCCAATTATATTTCAAATCCATATGCACATTGTTTGAAATTTTATTTAGCTGCTGGATGCCATCTTCATTAACTGATGGCCTCAAATTTGATTAATTTGTAATTTTTATTCAAACTGTGTTCTATGTTAAGTTTGCCATTGTAAATCTCAAGTTTTATTCTTTTTTGTTTCTCCATTAATTCTGATCTGTTATTTTGTTTTGTAATGCTATCTTCATTAACTGATGGCTTCAAATTTCATTAGTTTGTAATTTTGTTTAAACTGTGTTCTATGTGAAGTTTGTCATTATAAATATTTAGTTTTTGTTCTATTTTGTATCTCCATTAATTTTGATCCGTTATTTTGTTTTGTATTGCTTTATGAATCAGGTTTTTGAAGGGACTTCCGGTATTGACAACAAGTATACTACCGTACAATTTACAGGGGAGGTAAGGAAGCTCTTCTCTGTATGAAGAAATTTTCATTTGGTTATATTTCCTGTTCTCGCATATAATGTTTTTTTAATTTTTGTGTCCTTTCCATTATGGGTCAGAGTTTTGCCAACGTTGCATCACTGCTGAAACTTAGATAGAAATTTTCAAGCTTAAAGTCCATTTTACCTGTACATATTCCATGGAATTTGGTATAACGCCTTAAGGTTATTTATCAATCTAACAACTATTTCTCTCTTCCTAGCATGTTATTTAAATTGGAAATATATATGAGATTAGAAATTGATTAATAAGTGCTGCAAAAGTTGTTCAGGATGATAGACAAGTCATTGAGATTTAGGGTTTGTTTGGGCGGCTAGAATTATTTGTTAAAATAGCTATAAGATTATTGTAGGAAAGCAAGTTTTTTGAGAGTTGTTCCTTTTAAAATGTTGGACAAGAACTTATAGATATCTGTTGAATTTTTGTTCCAATCATAGCAAATAACTCAAAGCACACCGATCAAGTCATTGTACTGTTGGATCTGCTTATTTATGCCCACCCTGGCAGATAACAAAGATATTAATGGAAGATAACAAAGATATTAAGGCGCATTGATTGAGGTTATGTACATTTAGATCTAACTCTCTATGATTGTAATATGTGTGCTTTTTTATAGGATTGCGGTCCCTGTTTATTTTTTCCACATTTTTTTTATTTTATTTCTATTTTGTAATAACTATGGGAGATCTTTATATATATCTCCCCTCTTGTGTAAAAAAAAGTAAAAACTCTTGAGAGTTTTTTTCATTATTTTATTTTTTGCATGGTATAGGAGTAAAGTTGGAGTATTCATTTTATCATTTTTTCTTATTCTCTAAGGTTATGTTTTATACTTCAAACATTTGTTCTTATTCTCTAAGGTTAGTATTTTAATTTCCAACAGTTCTTACCATCTCATATTAGAGTTTTCACTTCCAACCTTTGTTTTTATTTTCCAAGGCAGGGTTTCCACTTAGAACTTTATTCCTCTTTTCGAATTTTTCTTCTGTTCACTATGTCGATGTTCTTTGACTTCCTTTAAAAAGAATCAATTATAATTAATGGTGAAAATTAGACAAAAGGAGAACTCTATGTTTTTCAAACATCTTAGTGCTGGAAAGGGAAAGATGCAACAAATTGTGGATCTATCTCTGAAGTCCAAAGACCCGAAGTTCTTAGTTTGGGACGATACTAATTCCATGACATTGTTATGGAATGCCATCCTACAAGAAATATGTTATGAACCTACTGAAAGAAACTAAGATGATAGAGTGCAAGCCGTGTGAAACTCCAACTTAACTAGGACAAAAGTTGGACTTTAGTGAAGGAGTTGATGTAGATATTGGACACTATCAAAGTAAATCAACTGATCGACATATTTACCAAAAACCTCCAAAGCCCAATATATCATATGCAAACTTGGAATGATAAATCTCTATCATATAGTTTGGGGTGAGTGTTAAATTTTTGCTCCAATTATAGTGAAGAACTTAAGGCAAGAATCAATGCATGATACCATTGGATCTATTTACTTATGACCCTCGGATAGCTAAGAATTTAAGGCTCACAATGCAAGGCTCTGAACCGTTAGATCTGTTTCTCTATAACCCTCGTATTGTAATTTGGGTGCTTTCCTATAGGATCGTCGGCCCCTATTTATTTTTTCCTCTTTTTTGGTTTTATTCCTATTTTGTAACACCTTTGGGAGATGTATATATATATCCCCTTTTGTACAAATAAAAGTGAAGACCCTTGAGAGTTTTTTCGATTATTTTATTTTCTATGATATCATATTCTAACGAAAAAAGTGTCAAAATAATTCTTTTGTTCTTTGAAGGGGTTTGTTTTTCTTCTAGTCTATTTTAATCTCGAGACAATTTTAATTGGGGCTAAAATAGCTTTCATAGAAGACTATTTTAGCCCATATTATCTAGGAACTAATTTGACACTTTTATAGCCTCTTAGACTAAAAGAATATCATTTAAATAGCTAGGAGACTATTTTGACACTTTACTCTTATTCCAACATTTCTAATTGTAACTTGTTTCTCACCACATACATTTCTTAAGTTGTGGGAAAACGAACGTATGGTAATATTTTAAAAAGCATGCATTGAAAAAATTTCTTAAATGAACATTTAGAGTTTAGTTTTATTAAATTGCAATTAGAGATTCTATTCTATGAATTTTAGTATGAAGGGGATAGGAAATAATTGGTTGTCATTGCTAAACACGGAAAACTGCACATACAATAATATTTTCCTCTAAAGCATGCATACTCTGTGGATGATCTATTGAGAATGAAATGTTTTTTTCTGATCTTTTGATTACTTAGGTGGGATTGGTTCACAGCTGAAAATTTTTTCAATTTAGCTCTTCGATTTTCTAGCTCAGTTGTTTCCAATTCCCTGATTCAACAGGCTGTTTGCTCTCCCTGTTATCTATCCACTAGTCGTCTACTTTTGAAAAATCTGTCTTATTACTCTTTTTCCTTCATTTTTTTTCCAGTCTTGTATGGCGACACTGTAACTAGGGGCGGGATATGCTGCTGTCGTGCTTAAAACATGTATTCCTTATTTTCTTGAATAACCCATAAATTGTTACCTCGAGTTTTCCTATTTTAGAGGTGTTCAGTTGCTATTTGCTTCTTCCTATTTTCAATTTTTCTGTAGTAGGAAATAGAACATTGTTGGATATGGGATTTGGAAATTGGAAACTTCCTGTTTAACTGAAATTGAAATAAGAGACTTGTTCTTATTTAAATTTAATTTTTTTTATTGGAAACTTGCGGGCAAGATTTTGGAAGATTTTGAGAAGTTATTGTTTTGGGTTTTAAAATATTAATTTGAAGTCTTTAGGCATGTCTAATTTAGTCTACAGCAAATATTTGTTTTTCCTTCAATATTTTTGTATGAGATGTTGAATGTCTTTCTTTGAGCATTTTGCAAATCTTAAGAATGATTTTTGTAGATACCTTTCTTTATATTAGCGTGAGAATTGAATATTGACTTGGTGATTCTTATCCTTATTTCTTCATCAAAATTATTTTGTTATTAGTTTGTGTGTGTGATTGAAATTGTCTGATTCATTAGTTACGTGCTTTCGTTTTTTTGTGGTGTGAATTTTAGCTGATGTGAAATTTGGTGTTCTTTTTTGGATTTCTTATAAAATCTCAGATTTTCACAATTCTCAAATTATTGTTTGGAGTGGATTGCACTTGTGTTCCTTATTTGTTATCAAAGAAACTAATATTTGTCTTACATTAAATGCTGGGAAAATGCATTTTTTTCCTTTTTTATGTCTCTTTGTTTGTTTCATCCTAGGTTTGCATTACTTAATCGTAGACCTTAAGACCCTAATGCATATAATGGAATCACTACTTATGCAAGGCGAAGAACAAGAATTACTTCACTAATTGCTCTTGGAAAATTTCACTTAAGCTAAGAAAATTACACAACCAATAATGGTTTTATGCAACCTAAAATGCAACTAGAAGAAACTATGCTAATTTGCAAGAGACTCAGCTTTTTTTCACCAAACAAGAAGTGATTTATAAGGACTAAAAGACTCACATTTATGGAGTTACACATTTGGTTAGGCTAATATATTGAGGGAAGACTAATGTTGGATGTTCATTGCATGGGGAAAGGGAGGGAAATCATTTTGATGTGGATATTGAATAATATGTTAGGAGATTGAAGAGTTTAAGTAGGGTTCCAAGGGGAAGTCCATAAAGAAAAGGCGTTTTTCTAGATTTTAGTACTTATAACTTAATTATTAGAGAGAAGGGGATGAAAATGGAAGGAGGCGATTTAGCAAGTCAACAAGGTGACGTGGAAGTTTAGAGGTGCCATGAAAGTCAAATATTAGGTTGATGGTCTAAGGAGTGGTCAAATGTGAACATATTGAGGGCAGTGGGCTAGGATAGCATAAATACAAGCCTGAATATATCAATACATCAAAATACACAAAATGACTCAATTTGAAGAAAGGAATACATAAGCCCGTCTTAAACGGAAAGGCATCTAGACTCAATGATGATGCTTTAAATAATGCTTGGCATCAGCTAGCTTGCATTGCATTGTGTTTAGTGCTTATGTTTTTTTCATCATGTTAACTAAATGGAGAATATTTTAATTAGGTTTGATAAAAATTAATCAATGATGCATATGTAAATAGGATTAGGTAAATTATGATTCCAAACAAATATTATCGCTATTGTGAAGATTCGTATTGCATTCTTAAGTTTAATTTGGATGCATAGCCTTTCAAAATTTTCATAATGAATTGATAACTTCGAATGCTTTTTTGAATATTACCACATACCTGATGGTCGTAGACCCTCCCATGGCCGTAGACCCTCCCGTTCTTCCACCCCTTGACATATTCCCTCTAGATCTTAAAGTCTGAGTGGTCAGATTGACCACTAGAGCTGCCAACTTGTGTCGGGCTCTGAATCAGTGCATTCTTCAGACGCATGTACTCATCCTGCAGAAGATTGTAAGGGGTATTTAATATAAAAATAAGATTGAAAATAAATTAAATAAGTTAATAAATAATTCAACTTACATGGATGCGTTGGGATCTTTCATCAACCCATTGTTAGTTCGACCGATGCTGATGTGTGCGGTTGTGCAACTCGGCGGCGGAGGGCTTCTATCCAAGCATCTGCCTCTATTACCTTATTAAAAAATTAGAAAAAAAATAATTACATAAATGAATTTGATGCTTTGAATACTCATTCTATCTTTCTTAGCATACTCTTTTTGTGGGATCGTGCCTTCTGTATGTAACGAGGTATTAATACCCCAAAATTTTGAGGTTTGGTTCTAAAAATTGACGTTAATTAAAAGAGATCACAATAAATATTATTGAAAAAGCTATGACTTCCTTTGTACTAAAGACTTGCGTCATTCAAGAACTCATCAACGTGACTTTTTCTTTCTGGATTCAATCTATTGTACATCTATAATCTTAAATTTATGATAATCATTAGCGCCCTATAGATTTAAGCACATTCACATTTTAACACATTAGTTAAATAAATATTTTCATGCATATGTATATAAATAACAATTACAATTACATTTTAGATAGGTAAATACATAACACCTTACCCTTTTATACTGCATAAAAAGTATTACCGTATTAACCTTTATAAAGTTAAATTAATATTCTTTCTCATACATAGCTAATTAAGGTGGCATGTATGAAATAAAGAAAGTTTAGGTGCAATTTTTCCAAGCGGATTCCTGAGTTGGCTCATTCTCGCATTGAAAAGTGGCTCATGAGCTTCCTCAGTGAGGTAAGAAGCCAATCTCAAGCCAGACTTAACTTGACTTGTTCGATGATAGAGATTTTGGTGTTCTTATTCTCTACTAGATGTGATGGGTTTAAATATCACAAAACATCATACAAGATATGGTTCGGTGGAGGTTATAAAATCTGAAATTAATTAAAAGAGTTCATAGTAAATACCGAAACTCGAGTTTAGTATTTACTATGTTACTTCTCTAAAATATTTTTAAAACTAATTGATAAATTTTATACCTCGATTAGAAATAAAATCCTAGGAAAAAACTGAATTTAAATACTTAACTAAGCCAATCTTAATTGTGAAATGGCTCAACAAATTAAGAAAACCCACCCAAGCTTCACAAAATATAAAAAAAATGACTTCTTGAAATCAAATAGCTGCACTTGTCAATTACTTGAAAGAATCATATATCCAACTTTCACTTACAAGATTGAAAATCAGAAAATAAAAGTTTATTTCAAGCTAAAATTCAGAAATACATGACTTGTATAAGTATTTATTTGGGAATAGGTGCCAAGATATGCGGTATGCTGTTCACCATGGCCAGTGCTTTTGTTGGAAAATCAATGAGCAACGTGTACATAACAAGCCTGCAAACCTAAAGCTTGCCAAACAAAGATAGCTTCAGTTCTCAAAGAGGACATAGTTTTAGAGCTCGCTGATATATCAGCATAAAATACATAGTAAAAAAAGAACATAATTGCCCTCTTTTATCTTTCTCTGGTAGCCAATATTTATTTCAATATAAGTTTACCATTGCAAACATATATATAAGATAAAATTATATCAAACAAATAGATTTTTTACACAACTATATATATATGACTTCCCCCATGCTACTTGAATCATATTTCTAACCATGTTTTTGAAAAAGCAAAATGAGTCGTCATTATAATCATCATTGCCGATATTTCATAAATTTTATCAAACAAATAAAATTTTTAAACTAAATATAAAAGATGACATCCTCCATACTACGAAAACCATATTTCTAAACATGTTTTTGAAAAAGCAAAATGAGTCGTCATTATAATCATCATTGCCGATAATTTAGAACTCGCTGATATATCAGCATAAAATTCACGGTAGAAAACACATAATTGTCCTCTTTTATCTTTCTCTGGTTCTGACATTTTTAGCCAATATTTATTTCAATAAAAGTTTACCATTGCAAACATATAAAACAGATTTATATCAAACAAATAGAGTTTTTATACAACTAAATATAAAAGATGACTTCCCCCATGTTACTTGAACCATATTTTTAACCATGTTTTTGAAAAAAAGCATAATGAGTTGTCATTAAAATCATCTTTGCTGATATTTTTCATAAAATTTGTCAATCAACTACAGTTTTTACGTAACTAAATATAAAAGATGACTTCCCCCATGTTACTTAAATCATATTTTTAACCATGTTTTTGGAAAAGGAAAATGCGTTGTCATTATAATCATCATTGCCGATATTTTTCATAAATTTTTTTGTATAAATTTTAATCATGTTATCTTTCTTCTAACATTTTTCCTCCAAATTCTGCTACTTTAATTTTTATGAATTTGTGATATTGGTGTATTTTCTCATCCATTGTTATGCATGCCAATCCACCCAAATGTATTTTTCACTATGTTATCTAAAATAGATTCTACTTTCATCATCTGACTTATCATTTCTAGGTCTACGTGAATCAGGACATCTAAATGTCTAGGAATGGCCAAGTAAACTTAATATGAGATGTACAAACAAACACACAAAAGCAAAGAAATTGCAATTTCCTAACCTTTAATTTAGACAAAGACTGTTTACCTTTCATGCAAGATTGACAAGGACATTTATTTGGCCAAAAAAATAATTTAGAAGTTGCCAAAATTTGAAATTCATAAGAAAGCTGAGAACAACAATTAAAGTTTATAGCAATTAAGATTTACATTAAAAAATGAAAATTGATGTATGAAAAACTACACAAAATTTTGATAACACATTTAAAATTCATGTTAACATTTTCCCTCCAAATTCTTCTACATTAATTTTATCAATTTTTGATATTGGTATATTTTTTCATCCTTTGCTATACATGCTAATCCGCCCAAATCTATTTTTCACTATCTTATCTAAAATAAATTCTACTCTCATCATCTGACTATTATCATTTCTAAATCTAAGTGAATCAGGACATCTAAAGGTCTAGGGATGGCCAAGTAAACTTAAGATGAGTCGTACAAACAAACACAAAAGAAAAAGAAATTGCAATTCACTAATCTTTAATTTAGACAAATACTATTCACATTCCATGCAAGATCAACAAGGACACTTGATTTGGTCAAAAAAATAATTTAGTAGTTGCCAAAATTTGAAATTCATAAAAAAGCTGAGAACAACAATAAAATTTTATAGCAATTAAGATATAGATTACAAAATGAAAATTAATATGTGAAAAACAAGGTAAAATTTTAATAACACAAACGAACCACCCATCCCCCAAAAACGATAAAATGAAAAGAGTAGTAATCATTAATTTCAAAATTAAGGCCTGGCACCGATGCATAGCATCCCTTGGAAATTGTAATCAGAACATAAAAAGAACTAAAATATTCACATATAGCAACACAAGCAGTGAAAAAACAGCGAAGTTTTTACTCTATTTTGCATAAATTTTAACAATGATAATTTTATTTTGTCACTTTTCCTCTAAATTATTTACAATTATTTTATCAACTCATTGTATTGGTTCATATGCTTGCCCATTGTTGTATCTACGAACCCAATCGAGTCTATTTTCCACATCTTATGTAAAATAGATATTATCACCCTCTAGCTTTTATATTTCTAAATCTAACCGATGAAGGAAGTTTTACGATCTAGGATAGCTAATATAAACCTGAGATGAGAAGCACATTGAACAACACAGAAGTATAAAAAATTAACAGTTTCCTAACTTCTAACTACGTAAAATAATTAGGCGCTTTGATGCACAACCCAAAAACATTTTTTTGTTTTGCTCCAAGCAATAATTTGGGAACAGGCAAAATTTAAAGTTCCATAAGAAATCAGAGAATTGCAATAACTTTCTCAACAAATAAGTTTCACATCAAAAATACAAAACGGACAAATTTTAATAGCACAAACAGACTAAAAATATAATTTAGATAAAAGAACAAGGATAATAGGCATAAATTTGAAGATCAAGGTTTTGGCAGCTTTACAAGAGAAGCATCCCTTAAAAGTTATTAGACTTTAAAAGCAGTAAAAAAATCTGCTTACAATAGCACACAAGTAGTGAAAGGAAGATATAAATTTGGGACATTTACATCCATATCACACAATTTTTATGAATTTACATATCTCACACCTAAGCTTTCATATTTACTCACATAACACTCAAATCTTTAATATCACATCAAAAATACAAAATTTAATATCACATCAAAAATAACATTATTATCACTTTTTAAAATTGAAATACATATTTTCATGCATTAAGTTTAAAGCACCAAAATGTTCTGCATGTAAATATGAAATTTTACTTATGAGATATGTAAATATATAAGAATTGTGTGCTATCTATGTAAATCTTCCTATTATTATTATTATTTTTTGTATCTTTTCTCACAACATGCCTTTGATTGAATCCTTCTTCTTACAATTTCTTAACTTCTTAGGTTCTCAAAACTCCTGTGTCATTGGATATGCTTGGCCGTATTTTCAACGGCTCTGGTAAGCCAATTGATAACGGTCCTCCAATATTGCCCGAAGCTTACTTGGATATTTCTGGTCAGTTTTAAATTTACCTTACGAAATTAGTAAAGCATCTATTTGTCCCAGAAATTTGCTCATTTCATTGAATTTCACTGCAGGAAGCTCTATTAATCCCAGTGAGAGGACCTATCCGGAGGAGATGATCCAAACTGGAATATCCACCATTGATGTCATGAATTCCATTGCCAGAGGTCAGAAAATTCCTCTTTTTTCTGCTGCTGGGCTTCCACACAATGAAATTGCGGCCCAGATTTGTCGGCAGGCTGGTCTTGTGAAGCGGTTGGAGAAATCTGATAATCTACTTGAGGTAATGTAACTTACATTTTGACATTTAAATTTTAGGGAGTTTATGTACGCAGCACACAATTCCTATGTATTTACATATCTAACACCTAAAATTTACTTTTTACAATTATACTACCCAAATCTTTTCATATCAGTCTGGTCTCGGGAATGTGGCATGTTTGTAAAAATTGAAGTTTAGGTGTTAGATATGTAAATACATTAGAATTGAGTGGTTTGTATGTAAATATTCCTTAAATTTAAGCTGATAGACATAAAATGGTGAGGCTTTACCTTTCGTATCCTTATTTCTGTTTAACTGTTCAATGATTAGGCTTCTTTCATCTGTTAATAAGTTGAATTTCTGCTTGCTATTATGATTAGATGGTGGAGGGATGGTGGATTTGGTTGGTTTTTCTATATACTATTAATGAACAAGCAGAAGTTATCTGAAATGTGATAATTTAAATATTTCAAAGTGTTGAATTTGTTGAGTAGATAAAAAATCCATATGTATTTGCAGCTCTTCTTCTCTGAAATGTTTGAATTCTAAAACCAATTCAATGCAATTGCTTATAAGTAATATATTGTGGATTCTTAAACCACTATTAGACTTAAGGTAATAAAAATAAATTTCGTTTTGATTTTATCACTTATTTTGTGTGGAAAGAAAATCTAGCATTAACTGATCTTGTAGATTTTGAAACCAATGTTAATTTTTAATTAAATCTAACCACATAATGGATTTTTTCATCATTTTTTGCATGTGTTATCTATTTACAAGAAACCAAATAGATCCTAATCATAGTTCACAAACAATGATGAAACTTGGGATATAAAAGCAATGAGAAAAAAAAACCAAAAAAGTCACTAAACTATTTGCAGGAGGCCAAAATGATCTCGAACTATTTACGGGTCGATTCAGTACCCAGATCATTTAAATAGTAACTAAAATTGTCCCCAAACTTTTAAAAGGGAACAAAAGTAGTCTCACTAGGTTCCCATTTATGTTTTTATTTAAATAGTTCAGGGGCTAAATTAGCCTTCTATATAATCTTGAACCATTTTGGCCCCTAGCAAATTGTTGAGAAACCACTGTGGTCATTTTCTCTATAAGCAATGGTATCATTCTAGTTTTTGGATGGTTGTTATTGCATATATTCTTGCAGTATGGCATGTTATTGTTCCAATGATTAATTCCCCAGGATGGAGAAGAGGACAATTTCGCAATCGTGTTCGCAGCAATGGGCGTCAACATGGAAACAGCGCAGTTTTTCAAGCGTGATTTCGAAGAAAATGGTTCGATGGAGAGGGTGACACTTTTTCTAAATCTGGTATTTTCACTATTGTCATCTTTGTTAAGTTCCATTTATGGACTTTTTGGCATTTTGTTTCAACATTATCAGAGTTTTGTTGGTACTCTATTCTGAACGTTTATGCAATCTAATCCTATTGGCTCTCGTAAACAGGCAAATGATCCCACAATTGAACGAATTATTACACCTCGCATCGCTCTCACCACTGCGGAATATCTTGCTTACGAATGTGGGAAACATGTTCTTGTTATCTTGACTGATATGAGCTCTTATGCTGATGCACTTCGTGAGGTAAAGTCACTACTGACTCTGTTTATAGGACGTGGATTAATTCTTTCTTTTTCATGAATGGCCTTTTTATATCCTGGGGTAATGTATCTAATGGCTTCCTTGCATAAAAATTGTGAGATTTTGACTAAACAGTTCTCTATAATTTCATTGTTATTTTTTGCCGATTAAAAAGTTTTATGGCTTGTTTGGAATCACTTCTGGTTTTTGGTTTTTGTTTTTTTTAATTACTTATTTTAAAAATGTATTTGTTTAGTGCATTTTTTATATTTTTTTACATTTTTTATTTTTAAAAACAATTATTTTGTTTTAAAAATTCTGAACATATTTAAATGTTGTTGAGTTTTTTTAAACGCGTTATACCACAAAACATAAACAAAACAAAATAGAAAGAAAAAAAAAATCCAAAGTTATGTGATCACTTTTGTTTTTTATTTTTATTTTATTTTGTTTAGGTTTTGATTTGAAACAAAACATACTTGGTTATTTGATTAAAGTATGATTGTATTTAAAAGCACGAGTGTTTTCAAAAATATATTAATTTGACTTTAGAAATGAAAAGTAAAAACATCTAAAAACATGTTAATTTATTTTTAAAAAAATAAAATTAAAAACAAAACTGATCTCAAATAAGTCCTTGGTAGTTGTTTATTGTCCATGTGTGTTTGAATTCTTTGATTATTCTTTTTTTCCCCCCCTAGTTTGATCTGAATCTTTATATGAATGAAATAAATTTGGAAACAATATGCTAATATAAAATTGTCCTTAAAACTAGCTCTTAACTGTTTATGCCATGTTTCGAATTAGTTTCCCTATCTGGTAATAGGTGCCAGTGATAAAGACATTTGGAAATTTTTGTCAAATTCATCAGTTCGAATCCCATCTATATCAATAAATCTCCACCGCTTTGGTGGGAAAAATATAAAAAATAATTATATTAAAAAAAATTGCCCACAAGCATATTTGTAACCTAAACGATGAAATTTTGATATGCAGCTAACTTGACTTGCTTATTTTTAGGTTTCGGCCGCTCGTGAGGAGGTTCCGGGTAGACGTGGTTATCCTGGGTACATGTATACTGATCTAGCAACAATATATGAGCGAGCTGGACGTATAGAGGGAAGAAAAGGCTCCATTACTCAGATCCCTATTCTAACCATGCCAAACGATGGTAATATTATCAACTTAGGTTTTGTGGAAATTATACCATAAAGTTTTATCTGACCTATGGTGCTAGAATAGTTAGAAACTTTTTTTCTTAATTTTATGTGAATTTAATTACAAATTCGCCTGCAAACATGTATATACAAGCATCAAACTTATGATCTCTATGGTGGAAACTAAAGCTTCCAATCACTGGATACTAAAGACAATTTGTATTTTAAAGGGGCATTTACATACATACCACCCAATTCCTATGTATTTACATATCTAACACCTGAATTTTGCTTTTTTTATTTATTCCACCCAAATCTTGCATATCACATGAAAAATACCACCCTTTTAACTTTTTAGAAAGTGAACACACCTTTTTGTGCAGAGGTAAGGTGCATGTAAAAATTAAAGTTTAGGTGCTAGATGTGTAAGTACATAGAATATGAGGGATATGTTTGTAAATATTTCTTCCCTTTTTTATGATTGCTTTACAAGTTCTTTTCGCTTGAACAGATATCACGCATCCCACGCCAGACCTTACTGGATACATCACTGAGGGCCAAATATACATTGATAGACAACTCTACAATAGACAGGTATTATCAATTTCTTCTACTGTAAAATTGTCAGTTTCAGACAGGAATGTTTTTCTAATAATAAAACCAAATTTCCCTAGTTATTTAATTTTTTTGGCTTACAAGAAAATAAAGCTCTTATTTGGGCATTTACATACAAGCCATATAATTCTTATCTCTTTAGATATCTAAGACCTAAACTTTGATATTTAGGTGCATAACACTCAAGTCTTTTAATATTGCATTAAAAAAATAACACTTAAAATTACTTTTTTTAGGTAAAATACACCTTTTAAAGCATAGGTTTAGCATTTATGACACCAAAGTGTAATACATGTAAATGAATAAGAATTGTGTGGTTTTTGTGTGAATCATTCTTACTTTTATTATCAGACAGACATGAGATTCTTTTTTCTGAGGTTTTCCTTTGTTTAATCTAAATAGATTTATCCACCCATCAACGTTCTTCCATCTCTCTCTCGGTTGATGAAGGTAAGCTTCTGCAGTTCTGGAGAAAGAAATGTTTCTCACGCTGAATATGGACCGATATCAACTATTGCAGGTTATCTCTAATTTTTTGGTCTCGTTCTTCTTGTAGAGTGCTATTGGGGAGGGCATGACCCGCCGCGATCATGCTGACGTGTCAAACCAGGTAAACCTTTTTTTTTTTGGGCAGAAGGTTCATCTTTTGATTTTGATAACCTTTAATTACTAATGTTGACCTGCAATCTCCTTGGGAGCTGTTTTACTGAGACTCATTGTATCATACAAATTGCCCTACATTTCCGATGGATTAAATTAAATTATTAGATTCTGATTCTCATTGAACCAAGATGGTATCATGCCTAATACACAGTATTTGATCAATAATCATTTTTTAGTCTTATTGTACGGTCATATTTTTGTTTTATTGTCGCCTTTTCTTTTGTTTTCTATAAATTTTATGGTGGGAAGAGCATTTCATGAGTAGATTTGCTAGAACGTGGTTGGCATAAAAAAAGAAAGGAAAAACAAAAGTTGTTTTTAAACATCTTACAACGAGAGAGCTTATATAATATTCAAGGGTAGTTTTTAAAAGCTTTGCTTTTGTCATATACTTCTACAATTTGTATTCTGAACACCCTTAATAATATTATTTGCTATGCAAACTAACTTTTGCCGTTTGAGACAGGTGCTGCTGTCTGTTAGAGTAGTTATAAAGAAATGCTGCTTTTTTAAAAAAAATTGAAAACAAAGCTGTGAAAATTGAACTTAATACATCTCACATCTTTCAAGCATGATGTTCGAGCAGAGCCAGTCGTAAAAAAATGCCCCCATCAAAAGAATTTCTAAATTTTTAATTGTGAACAACTGTTTGCAAAACAAAGCTGACATCTCTCATCCTCGATCATTTTTTACAGCTGTATGCTAATTATGCTATTGGGAAGGACGTTCAAGCTATGAAAGCTGTTGTAGGAGAAGAAGCTCTTTCATCCGAGGATTTGGTTTCTCTCTCTCTCTCTCTCCTATTTTCATATTAATTCAAAGGAATATTTACAAACGCAGCACTCAATTTTTATATATTTATATATCTAACACCTTAATTCCAACTTCTACACATACATATCACCTTACCTATGCTAGAAACAGTGCATTTCATTTTTTTGAAAGTTAAAATGCTGTTATTTTTTATGTGATATGGATGTAAGTGTTATAAATATAAAAAAGGAAATTGTCAAAATATCCCGTCTCTTTTTAGAACATTTTTATCCCAAAGTTTATAAAATTGTCAATTTAGTCAGAACATTTTAATCCCAAAGTTTATAAAATTGTCAATTTAGTCATCATACTCTTCTAATGGGACCTAAAATTGTTTGACACTTTTATGGACTCTGGAACTGAAATGATCCCATGTAAATAGGCAAGAGATTATTTTTGCACTGCTCAAATGTAAACAAGTATAGTTTATGCGTTAAATTTGTAAATACATATTAATTGGTTGTATTTATGTAAATGCCCTCTAATTCAAATATTTGAATTGCAGCTCTACCTTGAGTTCTTGGACAAGTTTGAGAGGAAGTTTGTGTCCCAAGGGGCTTATGACACTCGCAACGTCTTCCAGTCACTGGACCTCGCTTGGACTCTTCTGCGCATTTTCCCCCGAGAGCTTCTTCACCGCATCCCTGCGAAGACTTTGGACCAATACTACAGCAGAGAATCATCCCACTGAGGCCCCCAAACATTGTTTAATTAATAATAATATTATTATTATGAATCATAAATAAGTAAAATAACTCATGTTGCTGTTCTTCAAACCTTTGACACAGCCAGTTATTTTACCCTTTCAAGCTGTTGAGTTCTATTATTATTGTTTTTTGTTAGGCTATTAAAATGTGTTTGTTTTTTAGAGGTATTTAGAAACATATTTGTTTGGTTGTGTTAAATGTTATTATGTTGTAGGCTTGGTTTGGTGAAAAATTAATCTGAAATAAATTGTTTGTATAATTTGCAGTAGATTTATTTTGTTTTATATTGCCTTTTTTCAGTTTAATGTACTATGAATATTGTTACATTGAATGTATTTTTTTTCTGTAAGAATTTATTTGGAAGATTTACATATATACCACTCAAAATCTATGTATTCATATATCATCTTAGTTATGCATGAAAATATGCCTCACTTTTTAAAAGTTAAAACGATTGATAGTTTTAATGTGATACGAAAGATTTGATGGTATAAATGTAAAAGGTAAATTTTGTGTTAGATATGTAAATATATAGAAATTGGGTAATATGTATGTAAATGCCCCAATTTATTGTATATTACTTCATAGTTAAAATCAGATAACCCCTTAATTATGATGTAAGTACATTTGTTTTTTTTTGGAAATTTACTTGCATGTCACAATTTTTATGTATTTACATATCTAACACCCATTTTGATGATGGAGGTGACGTTTTGGACATGATGTTAAAGATTTGGGCGGCATGCATGTAAACATGAAAGTTTAGGTGTTAGATTTGAAAATGCATAAGAATTGTTTGGTATATATATGAAAATGCCCCTTTTGTTTTATATTGCTTCTTATGCTGATTGGACCTTTTGAGATGTAAAAATGTTTTGTTGGCAAAATGTATTAACGAATAATTTGATATTTATTCATTAAGATTTATTTTTGTTTATTTATTTATATATAATAAATTTAAATCAATTTTGAGTTTTTATTGTATGATGGAATATGTTTGATGCTTGCTCGTTCTTTTATATATTAGGGTTTGTTTAGGGCAGCTGCAACTTATTGAATAATCTGCTGATAAGCTGATTAAAAATAATTTATTGATAAGATTGGTGGTTATTATAAATTTTTATTTTTTTTGGAAAAGTCAAACTGTTGCTAAAAAGCTGTCACTGCACCTAGATAGGTGTGGCGTAAAAATGTGGTTTTTAACATTTTGAAAATGCATAAGTTGTTAAAATGCAGTTTACCCAAACAGGTCATGTGCGTTTTTAAGATGCCACCGCACCAAATAAGTAGCCCCAAACGGGCCTTTATTTGCTTTTATTTAATAAAACATTTATGGTTTAAATGTTTATTTTTTAATCATGCATAATTTATATATACATGTAGAAATTATGAGGATCATTAAAACCTAAAGGTCTAATTATTGATGGGAACATCAAATAAACAATTAAATGTCTTTTCTTATGAATATTTGATTTTCATCTCATAACTTGCATAATATTTAGTTTACTGTATCAAATTTATCAAGATTTATAAATTTAATTGTTTTTTAGTGATATAATCATGTATAAATTAAAAATGCCAAATATATCTTTACTCTTGATAAGCTTGACCATTATTGGGATAAGCATATAATTTTTAAATTAGTTTTTAAAAATTAGGGTATTTTTAACCTTTAATTGAATTTAAAACGAAAATAAATAAATAAATTTAAAAGTTGCAAGAGGGTTGCCTTTGATATGTTAATCATGTGGCTTAGAATTATGATTTAATTTGTTTTAAGGTAAAAAAGCTCAAGTTTGTAATTAAAATCTGTTATTTTATTTTTAGAGTTGATGGATAGGTAGCTAAGATGTAATGCTTTACTTAGCTAAAAAAATTTACATTTTTTTCATTAAAAAAAGAAAAATTATGTAACTCCATAAACTATTAAAATATGTGATTTTGCATTTAAACATGTATTAATTGAATTAGTTAGATATTAAGGTTTTAAGCCAATAAAATGTCACTCTTATAAAATAGGTTTTAGCATACTTTCTTTTTTAATTGTGGAACTATTACTCATTTTTTTTAAATGTTTAATAGAATATTTAAAAGGATGGAAAGAATTTTTCTTAGCATTGAATTAAAATTTTACGCACACAAATTTGAGCAACTTAAATGAGGTATGTGGTTTTCACATAAAAATTCTGATAAGAATTAAATCTCGAGACTTAGTTCGGTTGAAATGATTTCGTCGACAAAGTTGTAAGAGAATGTATTTTATCACAACTGGGAAACATTAATAAAGTGCAGTTGACATAATTATGAAGACAATCTTTCCATTGTGGAAAGTAAGAGATTTGAGAACCTGAGTTATTGTTAAGCAATTAATTATTGGCGGCCACACAACAATCGACTGAAAATGTCAAACATTAAAGAACACTTAATGGTTTGCTCTATCAAGGTCACTTATAAATAAAAGACTGTGAGTGATAGTTGAGAGTTCGCTAATTGTTCCTCTTATGAGATAAGAGACTAACAATAAGAAAAGCGGTTTTTGAATGTTGGTCATTGTTAGAAGACTAAGAAAAGTGGGCATCGAGTAAGACTGACAAAATGTTAGCAAATGTTAATGTTCAATTAATGTTGATCTCATTTTTCTATCAATCTTTTTCCTTGACTTATATCCAATTGAACATCCTTGGAGCTAAAACTTGAGCTATACCCTAATTTAAAATCTTATAAAGCAAAATTGAATCAAACAAATCAAAACATAATCAATACAACCAACTTCACCTAAAACCCTAAAATTGACCTAAAAATCAGTTTTAATAAACAAACACCTTGAAATTATCGTTTCTTTCCAAACCTGAAAGTTCATTATGAAAGTTTTGTAATGTTTATTTTCACATATAAATACTATGCAAATAAGTTTGGGGATTGTATGATATATATTTCACATAAAACTCTTCTCTTGAAGTTTCCATGCATGAAGAGTTCTCCATGTATGCTGAAATTATCATTTTCTCCAAAGACCAACCTCGTGATCACAATTATATTCTCTAAGTTTCATGATGTTCATAATAACATATAAAAAACATGCAAACCAGTTGGGTGGTACTCAGACACTATTTTTACAAAATATTTTGCATTTGGGTAACCAAAAATCTGTGGTTGTTGTTTACATAAGAGATACTTTAATTCCTTAAACTAAGTGTGTGTGTGTGTGTGTATAAGAGAGAGAGAGAGCGAGAGAGAGAGAGCTTAACAAGCTTATGAGTGAAAATTTCTTAAGAAAAGAAAAAGGAAAAAAAAACAAAAGAAATATTTTTATAAAAAATATGTATAAATTAAATGTTCTCTAAATGATATTTCCTTTTTAAAAGTATGCGAACCCCAAAGAACATATTTTCTATATTAAATAAATGAGTTCGAAAGATATTAATTTTTAAATTTTATGAAGATTAGCTCAACATAACATTTTTGAACAATTTTGAAAATAATTCTAAATTAAATTTAATAATATTTTTTAAAATCAAAACTAAAGCCTCCTTTTTAAAATTAAACTTAAGTAACATTAAAACAAACCTCTTTTCCAAATAAAACTTAATAATCTCTTTTTAAAAAAAATTAAAATAAACATTCTTTAAAATAAAACTTAACCCAAGATAAACGTCTTTTGAAAACAAACCCAAGTTAAACATAAATAAGAAAATCCTTTAGAAATCTAATAACTAAATGAACCGTTTTTAACAAACTTAACAAAACATACCCTTTTTATAAAAGCTGAACTCTAAATAAACTTGAAAATCCTCAACTAAACATTTTATAAAAAATTAATAGTAAACCAAGTCCTTTAACAATTTTAACCATACTTTAAAAATTTTAACTAAATGTTTTCCAAATAAATTAAAATATTCTAAAATTCAAACTTTTTAAAGAAATATATCTATTACAGCAATTAATAGAAACCATCCTATATCTAACCTCAGCAAGTCCTTTAAAAGAACTTCTTGTTAATCCTAAAGCTGAACTCTAAATAAACTTCAAAATTCTCAACCAAACATTTTAAAAAAAACCAATACTAAACCAAGACCTTTAACAATTTTAACCATACTTTAAAAATTTAAACTAAAATTTTTCCAAATAAATTAAAATCTTCTAAAATTCAAACTTTTTAAAGAAATATATCTAATACAATTATTAATAGAAACCATCCTATATCTAACCTCAGTAAGTCCTTTAAAAGAACTCTTTGTTAATCCTAAGCAACCATTCTTGTGAGCTTACCAAGTAAAATATCAGGACTAAATAAGCTTTGGAAAGCCTTTGAAACAAATTAGTTTAACCAAAATTTTTCTAAATGAGCATGTTCTTTCCAGGATCATGTGATTCATAAGCTTTGCCCTTAAACACATAGAGCTTTAGCTATTTCAAGTATACACATTAGATATGTAAGTAAGTGATATCACTAACATTGTTAACTTGATAAAATATTTTATGAAATTAGTTTTCTCATGTGTAAAATAAAAATATATTTTGTAAGCATGTGGATGAATATTAGAGATGAAGTACTATGTAATATAAACTCAAACATATAATAGTAAACATAACATTAGAAGTCAAACCTTGGAGAAATAATAAGAAAAAAACATCAACTCAGAGTAGAAAACCAAATTTAAACTTAGAAGAAAATCCTAATTTATCACACCGATCGATAAATTAAGAGAAACAAAACTCTAAACTTAAAATAAACCCTAATTTTTTCATTATAACCGACAAATTATAAATAAAAAAAATTACGATGTTAATTATTAAAAATCCCAAAAAGTTTAAAATTCACTAACTCTAATGATCACAACCATCACTTACGTAGAACCAAATTGGGAACCCTAGGTTAGCCAACAAAGGAGTAAAAATGAGGGCCACACACACTATAAAGTAGTCCAGTCTCGAATCCTAGGATAATTTACTAGGTATCCATTGCTAGTATAAAGGACTAGGACATTTAATACAAACAACCTTGCCCCATAAGACTATGTAGGCGCCCTAGGATGAAGTCTCATATTTACAGATGAAGACACTCTAAACCACTAAATAGCAGGAAGGTCTACATTAGCCATGATAATAATGAAGATCTTTTGTTATCTGGTTGGTTGAT